AGCGCCCTCCCAAGTTGGAGTTCCGACTCGGAATGTCGGAGGAATCACAACAACTCCAACTTCAGAATTCAATATGGCTGCTCAGTGCATCAACAGAAGAGAAACAGTAGTAATATATTTATTAGCACTTATGTTTGTCTGTGTCTCAGTGGTGCACACAGTACTATCCAACATGATACTATGGTGTTATCTGTGCAAAATACTGCTTTTTATGTGTTTTTAATCGACTGGTATTGCTAACAATGGACCAAAGCCATCTTGGTTTTCTGACTTCTCTACTGGAAAATGGTCCACTAATCAACATTTAACCTGGTAAAAAATATTTATTTATTGTTATCCGTGTTATATTTCATCTGCAACAGTAATGTGAACTTTTAAAATGATCCATTTGGTCGTGAACTTTTAAATGCATCATTATGCAGAAAATATGAGCAGAGTTCTCCGCATGAAAGACCCGGGACTGGCAGATCAACGAGCTACTTCTTTTCTCTCCAGTCCAGTAGGAAGTTAAATTAAATGAAGTGTGGAGGATGTTAACTGTGACAAGATGATTGAGGTCCTTTAAAGACGCAATTGTGTGACGTGATAGTATGTCCCATATAAATGACGTCTAAATGAGACTGCAGTTGACTTTATAAGATGTTGAAAATACGTCCAACAATGACCACATCTGAACTTAATTTTAACCTCTTAAAGATGTCCTGTGGACGTCCAAAAGACGTCATAAAAACTTTCATTCTGGCTCTTCAGGGGACGTCATTTCAACGTCCGAAAAAGACGTTGAAATGACGTCGTTTGGACGTACCTTTGCTCAGTGGGATGTCCCAAAGCTTGCCTACTCTTCTACTACACACTCAAAAGTGTGTACTTTTTCTTCACCAAAAGAGTACATACTTTAAGGGAGTAGTATTAGCAGGCACACTGAGACGCAGTGCATCTGTTCCGTGTTTTGCTCCCCACGTGTTTCATGACCCAGTTTTCCCTCATGTGTAATTAGGTTTCATTAGTTCCAGGTGTGTCTCGTCATCCCATCTTCTAGTCTTGTGTATTTATAGTCCTGTTCATAGTTTTCTTCGTCCGGTATTGTATAGGTCAACCTTCCCTGCTACGTGTGTTTTCCTGGTTCCCTGGATGTAATTAAAGTCTCCTTGTTGATGTATTCCTCGTCTCCTCGTTTCTCGCTCCGTGCTCCCTCACAGTAGTGAACGTGACAGAATCCCGGACCCACAAACAGTAAGCGGTGCCCCTTCTCCCCGTGTTTTTGTTTTCCTTTTGAAAAGTCTTTTGTTTTCCCTTGTTTTCTTATAAACAAGTCAAGTCCGTTTCTCAGTCAAGTCCGCCAGCCGCGGCATACTCAAGCCCGCCGGCCGCTCCAGTGTCAAGTCCGCTGACCACGCCTTTCACCCTGAACCTAACTAGGAATCTAAGGAGGAAAAGGCAGTTGGTTCTAGTCCCTAGGCTCACTCCAGTGCCGGCTCCAGCCCCAGAGCTCGCTCCAGTGTCGGCTCCAGCCCCAGAGTCCGCTCCAGTGCCGGCTCCAGCCCATGAGTCTGCTCCAGTGTCAGCTACAGCTCTGAGTCCGCTTATTTCATCAAGTTCAGTCCTGAATCCACAACAGCCCAAACAAATTCAGAGTCCGTTCCAAGCCCAGAGAGGGCTCCCGTCCCCATGTCCAGCCCAGAGAGGGCTGTTGTTCCCACGTCTGGCCATGGGAGGTCCTCAGATCCCGAGTCAAGCCCAGAGAGGATAACAATCATATCTATACAATCATGCATAAAAATATCACCGGTATGCCTGTCTAAAAATATGCGTCTTCAAACGAGATTTAAAAATTGGAAGATAGTTACTATCACAAAAATCTTGTGGAAGGTTTAGCCCAGAGAGGGCTCCAGTCCCCGAGTCTAGCACAGAAAGGGCTCCAGTCCCCATGTCCTGCCCAAGGAGGGATCCAGTTCCCACGTCCAGCCCAGGGAGGGCTCCAGTCCCCAAGTCAAGTCCAGGGAGGGCCACAGTTCCCGAGTTAGGCCTACGGAGGGCCTCTAAAGACGATATTCTCCCCAAGGTTTTTTTTGGGGGGGGGGAGTACTAGGGGTCCGTCCGTGGAGGCCAGGCCAAGTGCTGAGGCCAGGCTCCCCAAGCTCCCTGCTCCGCCGTGGCTTCCTGAACTGTCTGCTCCGCCATGGCCTCCTGAACTGTCTCCTCCGCCATGGCTCCCTGAACTGTCTGCTCTGCCATGGCTCCCCGAGCTTCCTGTTCCACCATGGCCTCCTTAACTGCCTGCTCTGCCATGGCTTCCTAGTCTGCCTGCTCCGCCATGGCTCCCCAAGCTGCCTGTTCCGCCATGGCTCCCTAGTCTGCCTGATCCACCATGGGTCCTGGAACGGGTACCGCCGTGCAGGCCGTCCGTCCCTGTAAGCCTATCCTGAGAGGCCTCCAGAGTGCCCACCCCCCAGTAATGTCAGACTCTGTTCCGTGTTTTGTGTTTTGCTCCCCACGTGTTCGATGACCCAGTTTTCCCTCATGTGTAATTAGGTTTCACTAGTTCCAGGTGTGTCTCGTCATCCCATCCTCTGGTCTTGTGTATTTATAGTGTGTCCTGTTCATAGTTTTCTTTGTCCAGTATTGTATATGTCAACCTCCCCTGCTACGTGTGTTTTCCTGGTTCCCTGGATGTAATTAAAGTCTCCTTGTTGATGTACTCCTCGTCTCCTCGTTTCTCACTCCGCGGCTCCCTCACAGTAGCGAACATGACAACGAAGTATAAAGCACAGCTCACATGGAAGTTACTTGCATACCAAGCACCTTATTGTTGGTCAGAGTGGCATGACCAACTTAAACCCTTGTGAAATCTGCATGGAGAATTATTTTTGCTCTCACACAAAATTCCCAATTGTGTGGATTCCCATTCAGATGGATGGATTAAATGTGAACAGTAAATGTGACCAGACCTTTAGGGCTACAACAGCTTGTCACTGGGGCGGTAACCTTAAGGGTGTTCATATAGTACCTTACTACTTTGTAGTAACCTACCTTACTGCCTTTCTACTTTAAGGTACTAATATGAACTTTTTAGGAGTAGATAAGGTATAAAGCTGTCCCTTTAACAGGATAGTTTTGTGTGAAACCACCCAAAAATAAAAATTCTTTCATCATCATACTCAACCATAATGTCGTTTAACTGACTATGACTTTCTTCTATGGATCACAAAATAAGATATTTTGAAGAATGTTAGTAACCAAACAGTTTTAGTTCTCATTTACTTTTTATTTTTTGACCATAGAATGGAAGTCAATGGTAATGGCAAAATTCTTCATTCTTCAATTCATCGTAAAATAGATTATTTTACGTTCCACAGAAGAAAGACAGTCATACAATTTTGGATTTTTTTTTATCTTTAAGATTACAAGCTGTCATATCCCTAAAAGTACATTTTTTGCAAATTTTTTTCTATATGATGTCCTTACAAATATAGTGACACCAGCAAACACAAATATAATGAATCTCTTAAAGGTCTAATTTTCGCAGCTAGAGGGCGCGTATTCAAAATAAACAAAGAGGCAAAGGCGTAGTTTGATGACGACGTGACGGAAACATTTGGGATAATGTAAGTACACAAGTCAGCAAAATATATAACACTGTTCTAGTGGTTTTTGGATATTTTAATACAATTTTTTACATATTGTGCCTTTAAGTACCTCATACTGTGATGTCAATAGACGCTCTAATCTATGATTCTCCACAATGAGTTACGAGTCAATGAGGCATCACAGATCAAAACTGGGGACCACTACAGTATATTTAAGTCCTTTCTTTAATTCTCTACTGTCCTTTTGCTGCCTACTGTTTACCTTCCACTTCATTTACTCATAATTGCAGGACCATGCTATATGATGTCCATAAAATGGAGTCATTCCATTTTGGCTGGCTAAAGCTCGACAGGGCAGACCTTCATGCTGAGTTGACTTTAATGACTTTTTAATAGGTCTCTCCATTTTAAAGATGCAGTACAACAGTTCCAGTCATTTTTTTGGAATGATGAATGATTGAGAGGGGGCTAACATTAATTTAATTTACAGTGCAGGCTTCCCATCTTTAAAAGCCCAAGACGGCATCGCAAGAGGCAAAGAAATAGAGAGGGATGGGGTGCGTTCATTATGCTGGAAAAAGGCTGGGGTGATTTATGATAGCAGCATTGTTGTTTTCCCTTATCTCTAATTAGACGCTTGTCGTGCTAACTGATTTCAGTGTCAAAGCAACAAGACATGGTTAACAAGGCCGCTTTGTTCTACATCATTCATCATTCTCAAAACATTCACTCAAGTCAAAACGTCCAAACATGTCCTGACACCCCACATGCTTAATTAGACTCTGAGTCACCTGCATGGAGGGACTGAAATTATTTCCTCCATGGATATACAGTATGTAGCTCACTGACAACCAGCATTCATTTCTCGTTCATTTCTCAGAGGGTTTGAAGCATGTGTGTGTCTTCAAAGACAAACTTTACAGTCTGCTTAAAACTACATGCCCTACAACAGAAATAAAAAACAGGTTTTGTTTTGCGCTCTAGTAGTTCTGTGAAATAGTGCCCTCTGCAGGCTGTTTGAGAAAGCAAACTCATTAAGCCAGAGCTCAGGGAAAACTTCACTAGGTTCAACTAGCTGTAGGTTATTGTGAGAGTTAAATGTCCTCATCAAGGGCCTCAAATGCCCTAGTTTGCTGCCCTACACCTGTCATTTTACCTCTTACCTGTAAAACTCTCTCTCCCCCTCTCCCCTCCTTCCTTTCCTCTAGCTACTCTATAAAAATTGGTTCCTGCCACACAAGGCAGTGAGATTTGTATTGTATTGTAGACATGAAGTCCATTCTCTCTCTCTCATCTGTTCTGTTGATTCTAGAACTCTGCTCAGGTAAGATCTATCTATCTATCTATCATCTATTCGGCTGGCTGGGTGGTCTCTGGCTATTTAACTGTCTATCTGGCTGTGTATCTCTCTGGCTGTCTGGCAGTATAGTTGAGTAAATGACTGCTCTAAGCAAAACAAAAGAGGCTAAATTTTGAAACTACAAAATACTAAATTAAATTGTTGTATGTCTTGCACAAAAATATATAATTATTTAAAATATATTCCATATAATTATTCCATAGTATAATTATTTGAAATATAATAGGTTATACATTTAGGGCTCCAAACTGCTACAAAAATAAAAATGTAAGACAACTTTAAAATCTAGACAGTCTAAAAAAATGTTGTGCACTCATTTAATTTCATCAGGCCTGTCTATACGCAGTGAACACGGCGCCAGCAATGACTCTTATGAACCGTTTTTTTAAATGAGCCCATGAAGTGGTTTGAATCAGTGAATCGTTCAGCCGTTACTGGGTTCACATAACTGTCTCCATCACACTGAATGAACCGGAACGTTGACTCTACTTTATCGTGAGCTGTATGATAACGTGTACATACATAGCCTATTCATAACATAGTTTTGTTGTGTAAATTAATAAAATATTTTATAATTAATAATTGTAAAAAAAAACATTCAAATATTTTACAAAATTTGGTTATTATGCAGCATATATGACGTTTTACTGTAAGGTTGAATTTACTATTGTTTTTGGAACCATTATCAACACAACTTAAATCATCGTTATTATATAGGCCTACTAAAACATCCACATCATTTTCAATATAATCCGGTATAATTTCACTGTTTTATAGCCTATACATACAGTAGAGTCCAAAAGTCTGAGATCACTAATGAAAATGCTTCTGTTTTGCGTTTTTCTAATGGAAACAGTCATTACACATTTGAAGCTACATAATCAGCCTTGCTAGACATAAATGGCAAATAAACGCAAAAACCTACAAATAAATAATAAAATAGATCATTAAAACCAGAGTTCCATTTTCTCACCCTTTTTATTCGGTTCTTAATGATTCTGTAGGCTAAAGATTTGCTAGAAACGAAAATAAATCATAATAAAATTAGAAATCGGTAGTCTATCAAAAGATAGCCTATAAATGACATTATATGGTACAGTAGTATTATTTTACAGTAGTTGACCTCTTATTTTCGACCAAGGTGTCGATTTCAAATATCGCAGAAATATCGAATCCCCGGATAAAAGCGCATTTTTTAGTAAAAGTAAGCAGTCGGAGCGCATTTTATGTTGTGATTCGTATAGCCTGTACATCGCTAAAATAACTTCATCCCTTCGCCATCGTTGATTCTATCAGGCGAACAGACTTTTTTTTTTTTTTTACAATGAGCGAACAGACAGTTACAGCAGCAAAAGTGAAAGTGGCGAAGTTGAGCACAGGGAGCTGCTCGGGAAAAGGTTAGCCGCTGTTCATATTCAATAAGTCTGGATGCACCGCACGGAACAGTGAGCAGGCGCGTAGATAGTGGAGTGCGTGTGCAGGAATGACGCTGTACTAAGTGTATCTTAATACATTAATAGCGCCAAATAAGTGCATACTTTTGAATTGTGACATGCAGATTATCTATTAATGACCCATAAACAACAGAGTCAAGGTTCATTGATTAATTTAGTAAATCGAGAAAAGAATGTATGGACCTTGGGCTCCATTGTATAAAGTTACACATCATAACACTATTAATAAAATTATTTATATAAAACAAAGCCATATAGCCTTTTGTAGAGATCTTATTGCACATCATTATGGTGGCTTGAAAGTCCGGTCCACTGACAAAGCTGCTGATTTGTGATTGCATAATCACTGTGGGAAAATTGTTATAAATGATTGTATTGGTGCAACACAATAATCAGCCGTGCCTATGCATAAACACTTCTATCAGCTATCTGGTAGAATTTTAGTCGAATCACAGCCTCTCGTTCTCCTGCTCCTTGTCCTCTGAGTGGAATGCAGTTCTTGCATTCTTGAACTCTTTCTCTGTGCCTTGTACATGCCCTGTATGTTTTGAACTTGAATACACCAAGTACATTATAGTTTGTACTCTCTTATTAGCATGAGCCCTTGTCCTGAAACTGCAAAACCAGAGGTGTCAGAATGATTTAAAAGTGGGGGTAATTCATGGGAAGGTATTTCCCAAAAGCAATTATGACCCAAAAAGCAGAGGGAGATGTAATCTGTAATGTGTGTGTTTTGGGTAGGGACAAATTGTGTGCATTTTGTATTTTTAGGTATACTGTTTAGGTAAACAACCATGCAGATCAAATCAAAATATTTGTGAATGAGAGATACTTGCTTAGATACTTGCACATGCCAAGTTCGAGTTGCATTGTTTTGCAGCACATTTACTCTGACAGTCAGTGATTTTGCTCTGTCACGGGTTAATCTAGCCTGTAACGCAGTGCATCTTGGGTTATTGAATCCAGACAGGTTATTTTTTAACAGAGGGTCACCTTGTGCATGTCGTTCATATTGTCTGACCTCTTCAAAGTTCACTGTCTTCTTTCACATGCTTCGTACTTGCAAGACAGATGCAAATGTAATACAGGTACACGCATATGTCCATAATATCAGCATCAGTGCAACTTTTCTTTTTTGTTTCTGTTGCGATACCTAAAGTCATTCTCGTGCTTAACATCCAGCATCACATTCTACATGCAATAGTTACATTTTATTTGCAACATTGTTCACTGCAGTGAAGAATAACAGTTCTCTTGGAAACAACAACAACAAAAAAAAACTAATGCCAAGCTTAAAGGGAGAGTTCACCCAAAAACTTTACTCACCCTCAAGCCATCCTAGGTGTATATGACATTCTTCTTTCAGACGAATACAATCGGAGTTGTATTAAACAATGTCCAGGCTAATCCAAGCTTTATAATGGGAATGGATGGTAGCCCAAAATTTGAATTTAAAAAAATTGCACCCATCCATTATAAAAGAAGTCCACACGGCTCCCTTTTATAATGGATGGGTGCAATTTTTTTTACTTCAAATTTTGGGCTACCATCCACTCCCATTATAAAGTATGGATTAGCCTGGACATTATTTAATACAACTCCGATTATATTCGTCTGAAAGAAGAATGTCATATACACCTAGGATGGCTTGAGGGTGAGTAAATCATGGGGTAATTTTCCTTTTTGGGTGAACTATCCCTTTAAAATCACCGTAAAGATATAGATTTGGAAGTAGAAAGACTGAAATATTTTCTTGTAAAAGGTATAACTCCAATAATCTTTGCATTATTTACAACTTGGAAAAATCACGACTTCCTTTCATTTGTGGAGAAAAGAAGAAATACAGTGAAAGTCAATGGGGTCCAAAGAAACAACAACATTGGTCCCCATTAACTTCATCTTCTTTTGTGTTTCATGAACAAAGAAAGTCATACAGTTCTGGAACAACGTGAGAGTGAGTAAATGATGAATTTTCCTTTTTGTGCAAACTAAGCTGAAGGGGATGAAAGTGCACAGGTGGACGGTGGGTAATGGGAAAACACTTAAGGTGCCCTTGCATTCAAGCACATGTTCTGCCCTCAATCAAACCTGGTGATCAGGAGGGGGACTCAGTTAGATGGCTAACCGATTATCAGGAAAAACGTTGTGAATCAAACATGGCTTTATATAACAAATTTGTTAGTTAATAACCACCATCATAACTGGTTCTTAAGACCGCTCTGAACCTTGGCTTCAAGTCACGGATCTGAATACTTTCCAGCAGTGGCCCATGGAACCAGTTGCATCAGGTTGTTCTCTCTGTTCCAGGTGAGTGGTGCTACCAGAGCCAGTTTTCCTGTCACGACACATGTAGAGGTGAGAACAAACACACAAGATAGTTTGTACCTGGACTCAACCTCTCAGGTTTTTGCATAGTCATCACCGAAGCAAAGTCCTTGTTCACAGTTTCTCATATAGTTGAATGTTTATGGTGAGAGAAATGTGTTTTTCAATTGTGTCATCCAGGGCCTTCAGAGTGGAAGAATAATTTTCCTAATTGTGGAGGTCAGAGACAATCACCCATCAATATAGTAACACACAGAGTGAAGCATGACCCAAAACTGACCAGTTTTATCTTCGAGGGCCACGAGAAAGTTTTCAATATGAGTGTGGAAAATCATGGACATTCAGGTAGATTGAACTGAAATTTAAAGGCATAGTTCACCTAAAAATGTACATTCTGTTGTCATTTAGTTCATTAGACTGCCGCTCATCTACAGAACACAAATGAAGATATTTTTAATGCTTTTATCATTTTTGTCCAATCAATCAACCAAAACTTTAATGCATCAAAAAGTAGAAGAGATCATAAAAGTAATCAATGAACAAACCTCACGTATCAAGCAAGTGCGATGGAGCTTCTGTTTACCATAATTTATGACCACAGGATTCATTAAAAATATCTTCAGTTGTGTTTCAAAGATAAACAAAAGTCTTATGGGTTTGGAATGACATGAGGGTGAGTAATGACAGAATTTTTGGATTAACTATCCCTTTACCTTAAGTTACAAAAATTCCATTCAGTTTAATTCAGTTGAGTTTACCCGATTTACTTCGAATTCTGTTACCTTTTAAATCTTGTAATTGTAACAGTTAAGTATAATTACAAGCTCCATGCTTCTTTCCAGCTCACTTCACACTTCCTCAATCTGTGCGTCTCCGTGGTGGAGGTCTGCCAGCCACATACAAGGCCGTCCAGTTCCACCTGCACTGGGGAGAGAACGGCGGCCAGGGCTCAGAGCACTCTGTGGACGGGGAGCGATATCCCATGGAGGTGAGAGTCCATGTCACTATCAAACATATATGGACAATAAAAAGCTAAAAAGCCTATTATTTTCTTCAAGTTATATTATGATGGGTATTAATTATGCATTTTGTCCCCCAGCTCCATATTGTTCACATTAAAGAAAAGCATGGCAGCTTGGGAGAGGCTCTAAATGACTCTACAGGGGTGGCAGCACTTGCCTTCTTTTTTGAGGTACTGATGCCTTTGTGATATTTCATATCTCATACCTAAAAACATTTTTGTGAGAAAATGATCTGAACACAAACTCTTAAACTGATAGCACCCAAACAGTTCTATTTTATATCATTGAGATACTATTATAGTTTTTATTAATATTTTTAATTCGTTTTTGTTTTTACTTTTAGTTTTGTTTTCATTTTAATTTCAGTTAAAGTTTTAATAATTTTGTTGTGTATTTTGTCCTTTTTATTATTTTATTTTTAAAATGTTTATATAATTTTCATTAATTTTTATTTTAATTATTTTAGTTCATCAAGTTAAAACTAAATGAAAATAAGAACTGTTGCCTTGGCAACTAGCTAAAATAAAACAAGTTTAAAGGTTTATATTTATATATATATATATATATATATATATATACACACACACACACACACACAGAGTTCTGGTATGAAACTCTAGATGGCGCAGTCCTATAGGTCTAGCTCAGTCTGACCTGGCGACATCATTGTCATATGGCAGCTGATTGGTCATTAACAAATCAATGTGAATCAGTGGAGATGTAAAGATTTACACTGAATAATTTCCAGATCAACCCCATAAAATGTTTTATATATATATATATATATATATATATATATAGTGCAGGAGTCATGTGGACTACTTTTATGACATTTTATATTACCTTTTCATGATTTTGGTTTTGACAGCCTCAGCCCTCATTCATAACGAAGCCATTTTAGGTAAAAATTCCTTTACTGAACCAATTTGATAATAAATTGATGTCTATATTAATACCTGACTTTTGCCATCCCGCTTTTAGGTGACTTCTGGGCAAAACAAACAGTTGGACAGAGTCATAGAGGCTTTAGGAAAAGTCCGATATGAAGGTGAGTCATTATCAGATTACATGATATTTTTTGGGGACTGAGTTGCTTATTTTGGATTAGTTTATCTATTCAACATGTTTTGCATTCTGCATTGTGGTTCCATATTACCCAATGTGATCAAAAGGGAACAGCTGTGAAATTGAAGATTTTAGACTGACTGACATCATCCCTCAAGCCAATAAACTGAACTACTATCGGTACTCTGGTTCCTTGACCACACCAGGCTGTGACCAGGCCGTTGTGTGGACGGTCTTCCAACAGAGTCTGCCCATAAGCAAAAATCAGGTAGAGAGACTTTTTCTTTTACGCATAAACCAGACTGAGATCAAGATGTTAGTCAACACTGATTACAATCACCAGTATCTGAATTTAGAATTAAAGCAAGACACTATAGGCAACATCATTTTTCTTCCATAACATGTCTTCTTTAAGAATGTAAGTGTTTAATTTACATGTTATTTTATTACATTTGAACTATTTGTATCTGTAAATTTTAATTCCAATACATACCTTTAAAGCTTGTTTTCTCAAAATGAGTCTTATATCAAACTTATTTATAACTTATATCAAACTTTCCTATTCCTATCTATATTCGTAGGATTTTTACACAGATGTCTGTTCATACATCAGTCGTTTGATTTATATAACATTTATTCCTACAAACACTGTGAATTTTTTTTCTTGCAGCATTTTCTGGTTTATGGTCTGTTAAAAATCCCCTCTGTAAAACCTTTATCTCTGATTATGTCAACAAAATTAAACAAGAATTTTGAACCTGGCTTTATCCAATGTGCAAATGAGTGCATATTTAATTAGATAATGGATTTGCTTATTTAAACATAAAATTTCAGAAAACTTGTAAAGCAAAAAAATTATCTTAATGTACTGTGATTAATCAACTATGAAAAGTATTGTGATTTCTATTAGCTAAAGCCTTTAGTGTACCTGTAGTGCCTTGCCTTAAGCATATGATTATGGAAAGGCAGATTTTAATTCACACGCACTGATCCTTTTGGCCATCTTTATTTTCTTGCTTTAGCTGATGTCAGTGGATAAACAGCTGTTATTCGGAACAGAAAAACCAATGACTGGAATATTCCGTCCTGTGCAGAATCTGAATGGACGAGTTGTGTACACATCAGTGTCAGCTCACAGTCTGTGTGTCCTGCCCAATCTAATCACCCTGTTTCTGTGCCTCTTTTGTGTTTTTGGACAACAAAGGGGTTTTCATTGAATGGTAGAGAACGCGTCTCTTTTAACACAGGATGTTCTGTATCGAACTTCCAGAAACAAAGTATAGCTAATCAATCTTCTGAGCACTGAACTGAAGGTACTGGGATGGATCTCTGTGCTAAAGCGGTGAAACTTGACAATTGAGAAAAGATTTCTTAGTTATTTTCTGTGTTCACAACTATTAATTGTCTCACTGGTACCTCTTTTCATGTCTTGGGATATTTTCCTTCAGTTGTGGCAGCTTTATCTGGCTTTGATTATTTCAGGATTCCCATCTGTTTTCCATTACTTTTTTTGGTTGTTCATGATTACCGTATTTTAAATATTTTAAAATCTTATATATATATATATTGCTGGGAAGGACTTCCATTTATATTTATATGTACCAATAATTATACTTGTATATAAAAGTCTTCAAAAATACAAAATAGCTTGAGATTTGAATGTGGCTCATTTGAAGCTTTCTGATCCTCCATTAAGATTGTCTCACTATGTATATTTAATTGACTTTTCCATTACTTACGACCTTTTAGAACATTTTCATGGCCTGCGAATGCCAATTTTTACTGTTGTGTAATGTTCTTATGTTTCTGTAATTCATATGGCTATGATTTGATGATTAAACTTGATACAAACATGTAAAACAAATTGTGTACATACGCAGGGCATGTGGGGTGTAAGTTGTACATAATGTGTCCAAAGATGTTAATAAAAGTTCAAATGAAGTGACTACACAAATTCTTCATTTAATTGCAATTATATTTAATTGTAAATATTGTTTGTCATATAAAGATTTCATTTTCATTTTGAACCAATGGAAGTTTATATGTAACATGCCGGCATAACATGCCAAATTCATCTTTGAAAGAGTACCTACTACTGACCCTTGCAGAAATGAGACTATGGTTTCTGTTTTTGTGCCTGTAACCAGGTTCTGAAGTGCTCAATCTGAGCTGTGATGCTACTCCTAGCCGTGCCACCAGGGGCGCTGTACTGTTCAACACTTCTGTTGTAGTCCCACACTGAAGAAACGTCCTTGTCAAACAAAGGGCTGGAGATAAAGAAAAAACAAATCAATAAAAAAAATCAAAATAAAAACATTTCAGATACTGTTAGATGTCCTTTTAGTTTGAATGTGACTGCCGACCTGACAGTTTGAAGGTCCTCTACAGTGATTTGGGACAGATGGATGTTCTTAGATTCAGCAATATAAACGGCTTTCCCAGCACAACTGTGGGCTTCTCTGAAAGGCATCTTTGATATATATGTATATATATCAGATTTCATTCAGCTCTACTGACATACGGAATCGTAAAACTGTAAGTTGATGGATTGATGGACTTACTCCCTTTCTGACCAGATGGTAGGCAAGATCAGTGGCCAGCATATCTGGGCTGAGGGCCCCTTCCATCGCTGGTTGGTTGACCTGAGGAATGGAAAAGTACCAGTGCCTAAGATCTACTGCTCAACAATGAATAAAAAAGGAAATGAAACAACAACAATTCTTTATACTGCTCACATTTTAGACTGACAATGGATTACGACATGCTCAAACACGTCTGCATCTCATTCAGCATTTCCCCGACTTACTGTTTAACTGAAGTAACAGTTTTTTTTTTAATTGTCATTGTCCATGACAAAACAACATTAACTTGTGTTATAACCCGCCTCTCACCTTTAGAGTTGAAATGACGCCTGTCGTCACCTGCAGCACAGCGTGTACTGTATCATATGTGTCGAACATGGCCTCCTTATCCTCCTGCAGTGACAAAACATATATTCAGAAAATGTTTTAAAATAAAATGATCATATTTTGGCTGTCATGGACATACCTGTAGGTCTTTGTTGTATGTGCTGGGTAAGCCCTTAAGAGTCATCAGAAACCCTGCACACTGTATTACAATGAAATTTTAATTAGATAAAAGTATATAAAATATTTGTATTTTAATATTATAATATTACTATTATTTTAAATATTTGTAATATTATTTTCTTATAATTAAATTAGGTATGCACTGATATGAAAATTCTGGTCAATAAGCCAACAATTAATTTCATGTTATGGTGATATTAAAATATTATTATTCAAATATTACACTATTTGTCTGTTAAGTATGCTACTTTTTTATTTTATTAAATAATATTTAAAATACTGATATGATAAGAAAATTCTGGCCAATAAGGCAAAACATTTTCTTATGTCCGATAACTAATAAATGGGTGATATTAAAATATTATACTATTTTGTCGGTTAACTATACTAATTTATATTAATTTTATTAAATAATTATGTTTAATATTGTAATATTTGTAATATTGTTATTATATCAAATCTTTTAAATAAAGCTGATAATAATTTAAATGTTATTGCTGATAACCGATAAATAGTCTATAGTCAAATATTATACTATTTTTGTCTAAATAAATTAAAAATAAAATATTAAAAAGTAAATTTAGGCATCATAACATTAAGCACACTCTGAAAAATGAATAATTACTTTGGATTTGCTAAAAGTGATATTTAACAGCATTATTAAATTATTCATGTTTTCAAAGATTAACTTTAAGTGAGAGTTGGATGACTGAAGGTAATCTAATTTTAAAAAGAGGAGAAAAAAACATGCACTATTAAATATCCATTATTCGATAACTGATAAGGTACCATTACTGTATATTGTGCATCCCTAAATGAATAGCAACTAAACTGACAGCCCTAGTACTAATTATTACATTTCCCATAGACTAATCTTAATCATAAGACTAGTATTGGTGTCTCGGGTTGGTTTCATTAGTCAGTGCTGTATCTTACTCTGCCAAACACTCGTCCTGCTTTGCTGCGGATGAGCTCCAGGCTGTCTGCGTTCTTCTTCTGAGGCATTAAACTGCTCCCAGTGCTGCTCTCGCAAACACAAACACAACAGCTCTGATTAACTACACACACTAGGCACACATACAAAGCAGAAATGGATCAAATCCCTCAGTACACATCAGCCAGCTCGTGTTCACAGTATATGTATGCCACTGTGTTGAGTATCATCCACCAATTAAGACAACACACTGAATCCTGCACTCCATGGCAGATAGTCAGCTTTTCTGAACATGATAATGTTGTTAATAAATAGGCAATAATTATTTCTGAGTGAACAATTACTATTTAACTAAGGTCAGTACCGGCTGTGCAGCAACCAGTTTGTGGTTAATAAAGATAAATCAGTTCATGTTAACAGGCCAAACATTTCACAGGCCATAAAGAATTATAGTATTGGGAAGAAAATTGATTTGCTCTAACAATGGAGAATTTGTGATGGCGTGAGCAGGTACATGTGTACTCACTGAGATTTCTTGGCAACTGTACCATAAAAGTCATTGAATTAATTAATGTGCAACTCTGCCTAAAGCTCAAGTTAGCAACTCCTTCAGTTTCATGATGGAAATGTGCATACGTGACAAGTGGGGTGAAAATAATGCAGAACATGGTAGTAATGTAAGGAAAATACTGTACTGTTAACCCAAGGGCTTCAAATTAATGATTTCTGTCTGCTTTGACATTATGATGTATTTTGGGGCAAGACACGTTCTTGATTTCGAAACACTCTTATGCTCACCAAGGCTTCATTTATTTGATTAGAAATACAGTAAAACAGTAATATTGTGAAATATTATTAGAACTTAAAATGACTGTTTTCTATGTTAATATATTTAAAAATGTATTTTATTCCTGTGATGGCAAAGCTGAATTTTTAGCAGCCATTACTCCAGTCTTCAGTGTCCCATAATCCTCCAGAAATCATTCTAATGTGCTGATTTGCTGTTCAAGAAACATTTCTTATTATCAATGAGGAAAACAGTTGTGCAGATTAATATTTTTGTGGAAACCGTTCAATGATTCAGTTTTTTCAGGATTCTTTGATGAATTTTATTTTTGTGCTTTTTGCATTTATTAACAAGTAGAGCAGTGACAGGAATGGGATTGGAACAAGACCCAGGTCAGACCTACAGCTTTTATATGTCAAGGGCATATGCACAGCCACAGAAAATTTGAATGATTTTTTTTTTATTGTGTTTTCAAGATTGACCACTGCTGTCACTTCCCATTATAAATCATGTGCTGTCCTCACCTGTATGCATCAGTCAGAGTAATGAAGGAGAACTCCTTTGTACTGTATAAAATCAGATCCTCTGCCATCTTGCTGAGGTGTGTGATACACATTGATGCCCAGAAGAGAAACTCAGCTGTCCAAAAATATACACAAACACATTCAGTTAAACACACTATTCACCCAAATCATTTGATCATTTACTTTCCCTCATGTTGTTTTAAAGGGGTCATATGATGCTGCTAAAAAGAACATTATTTTGTGTATTTGGTGTAACGAAATGTGTTTATCCAGTTTAAAGTAAACAAAACACATTATTTTCCACATAAGGGGAAGCCCCGGCTTAGCGTGCGCTGAGGCCGGGACAGAGTGAGCTGAGGCGGCGGGGTCGAGAACGGTGCGCCCGGGCTGGACTCCGCTTCGTCCACGGTGAAAGTTGATGTATTCCCTCAGCGACCAGCACAGATCAGCTCTAGGGCAAATCTTCCCACATAGTGAGGTAGATATGTGGGGGTGTGTTCGAACGAGCCGTTTTAGGTAGGTGTGGCTGACTCTTAACTTTTATAAAGAATATCTCTTTGGATTTGAGACTTTAGTCTGTGCAAATTTACAGATCTTCTTTATGCACCAAGAGCTTGTAACACTCCAAAGAGAAAGGAAAAAATGAAATTGCATCATATGACCCCTTTAAATCTGTATGACTTTCTTTATTCTATGGAATATAAATGAAGATATTGTGAACAATGTTGGTAACCAAAGTTTTGGTGACAACTGATTTTCATTTAATGGACCAACATTTTTCGAATGATCTTCTTTTATGTTCCACAGAAGAATGAAAGTTATACAGCTTTGGAACAAATTGAGGGTGAGTAAATGACGACAGAATTGTCATCAGAATTTTTGAATGAATCATCCCTTTAATTACAAGGGATACTGATGACCTGTAAAGTTTGCAGCATGATTATACATACCAACGAAATCTCTTTGTCCGGTAGCATCCATGCTGTTAATGCTGATACTATCAAATTTTAGTTCTGGGGAGTGAAAAAAACTGAATCAGATAAAAAAAAACTTTTAAATAGCTGACCAGTTTGACCTATATACACAAAATATATCATAGGAACACACTTCATGAATCATTACTTATATGGGAAAACGAATGTCATCAACCTTGGCGAAGAAGT